GACTGAACCACCTCCCTGGGCAGCCTGTGCCAATGGATGACAACCCTTTCAGTAAAGAAATTCTTCCTAATATCCAATCTGAACCTCCCCTGGCGCAATTTAAATCCATTTCCCCTTGTCCTATCACTCTCCACTAGGGAGAATAGACCAACTCCCACCTCTCTACAATCTCCCTTCAGGTAGTTGTAGAGAGCGATGAGGTGTCCCCTCAATCCCCTCTTCTCTAGGCTAAACAGCCCCAGATCCCTCAGCCTTTCCTCATACGACTTGTGTTCTAAGCCCTTTACCAGCTTGGCAGCTGCCTCTGTGCCCTCTCCAGCACCTCGACGTCCCTCTTGTAGTGAGGGGCCCAAAAAGATCTACTTTTGGATATTCCAAATCACAGTGAAGGCAAAAGCAACTTCAATGGTTTCTGAGACTTGTGTGGGCAAGAGGCATCCTAGAGATCTGGAAGCTCAGTGATATGAAGTGATGAGACCTGGGGGGATAAAATGCCACAAAGATGTCCACTGTTATCTATGGAGATATGGCCTAGAAGCTGAAGGAGGTGGGCCATTAGTGTACAAAAATCCAATTATCCAATTGTAAATTAAAGGTCACCTACAGGCAAGTGTAGAATGAAAAGCGCTGCTTGGACACGCTGTATTGCTGTTGTCCACTCTTTATACTTGCTGAGCATGTAGGGAACAACAATGGCAAACAGGACACACGCTGCTCCCACACCAGACCAACAAGCAGCAGGCACCTACTGAAGGCTGGGGGGTGCACAACCCTCCCCCCAAATTGAGGATGCTGTCCACTTGCCACCGCAGCTATCACATTCGCATTCAAAGCTCTTGTGATTCCCACAGGAGAGGAGTTCATGCGGTCCTGTGCAAGTTTCTGTCAGCTGCTGTAGCCCTCAGGCTGGCTGATGGTTTCATCAACCTCCACCACTGTGATTCTCAAAGACAGGACGAGACAGTAACCTTGGGGACGCAGCCACTCTGTGCTGTCTCTCGGCCTCAAGCCTAGAAAAGCCTTTGGCTGGTTTTATTTATAGATATGGCCAATAGGGGAATTCAACAGTACATCTATTCCTGTAGAAAGATAAATTTAACGTGAGTGCAGTCTTCTTTACTTCCTAATTATTAAGAAATAGAGAAAAAAAAACCCTCATGAGAGTGATGCAGTTCACACAGATTGGATTTCACCAAGAACAGCTGCAGGAGGAATGTCTCTACTGCTCTTTTAGACATCAGTAAGAACTAAGGTTCCTGGACAGAAGCAGGGAACTTCACCCAACTGATCAAACAAGCATCTGATGCAGAGAAGCCCTTTCCCAACACAACACAGTAAGCCCATATACTCAACAAGAACAGGAAACAATGTTGTTGCTTTTAAAAAATTGATTCCCTTCTGGCAAATTGTCCTCTCGGTCACATCAAATATGCCTCTGCCATTCACAGATCTATATTTACAGACTGGGTCAACCCTATGTCCACATCTCTCCTACATCGTCGTTTTCCCTTGGAGCCCTCACAAAATTTAAAATTCTGGCCCTTTCTCCCCGAGCTTTCTGGCCATCAAGCAAACAGGCAGAGCTCCAAAGCGCAGCAACTTAAACACGCGTGACAGGAGGACGCACACTGTAGCCTTCCCACGACACCAACTGCACACATACAGGACATCCACATAGCAATTTCTAGAAACAGAATCATGGAAACTAACCTGTTCATAGATTTAATAGACTTTTTAAATGGTACGATCAACACTGTGGCAGTGCAAGGCAGAGTTAAACATGTTTTTAACACAGCTTAGTTTGATATTTCGCATACTTGGGTCATTTGTAGGGCAGTTCACTCATGAACTTTTAATCCAGCTTCAAAACTCATTGCAGATAAAAACTATTTTACATTCTTGTAGATGTGGAGTAGCGCTGCATTCAAGAACCTCCTGTTCCGCAATGCTGCAATTTAATCACAAATACACATGCGTGACTGAGACCATCAAACAACATTTATGCACTTAGTTCTTAGAAGTATCTACAAAAAACTCACACGCTTCTTAAATCAATAACATTTATTTCCATTAAAGCAAGACAAATTTTCAAAATTAATACAAGATAAAAATTCAAGGTGGTTGGCAAGGGGAAAGAAGACTGCACATCATGTACGTTATTTCCATATGCTCAAAAATATTTTTTAATAAAATGATACTGGCACGTAGAACTGGCACTTTCCCACAGAACAAAACCGGCGGAATTTTCCCTTCTCTTCTAGTCAGTAGTTCTACGAAAACTAAATACACCTACATGCAGCCTGCAACTTTTATAGTAAAGTTTACCATGGGAATTCAGAACAATCCTCTATCAGAAGTCACAAAACTGTAGCAAAACACTTATTCTACTGCATTTTCCTACCTGGTGGATTTTATAATACTTTTGCTTTCAACAAACAACAGTTTTCTAGCATTTATTATAGCTGCTTAAAACTGCATTACTACTTACAAACTGGCCTGAGGCATTAATAAACCCTTATTTTTATTTGACACAGATTAAAGCATTCCTGTCAAGTTACCACTCCTGCCCAAAACCAAGGCCATCGAAATCCACAGTTTTGCCTGTTGGTTTCATTGGGTTCCAAATTCACTACAGCATTGGACAAAACACACAAGAAACAACATTCATTTTTAATTTTTTCGATAAAAATCTCCTGCCTTGAAAGCAGCAGTTTCAAGTATTGCTATCCTAGTCTTCTAGCGCCTACTGAAAACCTTCAAGAAACAAGACAGACAAAAAAAGCCCAAATGGAGAGATGAGTGCATTTAAACAATGATCTCCCTCTCCTTACCCCAGCCCACCCTCCCACCCCGGATCTCGCTGACTTAATTCCAAACTCACAATTTATTGTACAGCCGCGGCCTGGAACAAGCTTTCCCTGAGCGCTCTTTCTACCTGTTTCAAAAAGTCAGAACATGTTTAATTGAATTCAACCATTATTATTGCCATTTTCTTTGCTAATATGCGACATATTTCCTAGGCGAGTTACTTCGTTTTGGTAGCCCCGGATTTTACACGTAGACAAACGCGATTTATATTGCTCCAAATACAGAACGTGAAAGTGCATCTGACTTCTAAACAGTATTATTCAGGCAGCTGTCAGAAAGTAACTAGACCCAAAAGATCTACAAGCACAAATCCTCAGAGCGATACATCTCCGTTGAAAGACACGGAATTAATGGCGTATCTGCTCGGAAATTTAGTAGCATAGCATCGTTAAGAGACACAACCGCTTTGCAGTCCAAGGTCTGGCTGTCAGAGGGGGAACACAACACTGCGTTGTGCAAGAGGAGTTCGAGAAGGAACGGGAACGAGCATTAGTTTCACACCCAAGCAAAGCAAATGTTTCATGTGCAAGATGCAACACTGCATCGTTGTGGCACTTCTGCCATCTTTGGGGGTCTAGTCTCTACCCACTACCTACCTTCACACGAACGGCAGTTGTGTGATCTACAGAAGGAAGCCTCAGAACAGCATTAAAATTTTGCTTCGACTAGTCTAAGTCACAGGTATTGTCACAGACTTTAAATGCAAATCCCCAGAG